TACTGTGTCAAAGAATATTGCCAACTGCGCAGTTTCAAGCACTGGGGGAGATGGGCGAGAACCTCCGAACCCCCTGACCTTTGTACACCAGAGCGGCGAGGAGATTATACCAGTGAATCAATTAAAGGAGCACATGGAGGCTGCAGAAGCTAGTCCGTTCAGGGTTCTGCCTTTGAGAGAGTGGGTTGTTGGAGCCATGGAGGAGGGTTTGGATGAGGTTGTCGGCTCATTCTTGTTAGGCTCTGGAGACAGGATCCGAGTACCGCTGCTACAACGTGGCGACTGCCCTTGATTTTTTTAGAGATTGTATTTTACGTATGCTGAGTTATAATACTAGTCTTGGTATTTGTCTTCTAAATTAAACACAAATTTTGTTGACAGCTTAATTCTAACCTCGCCGCTCGATACATCTTCGTCTCTGTACGCCAGATGATGCCGTTTCCCAGACTTGTCAGCAATAAATATTGATTGAAAAATTGGCCAATATTGATGTTGATATTGGTACTGGTAAGAAACTAGAGATTTTCTTCTCGATCATAATAGAGTTGTATACATTACTGTGACAAGTTGTCACCGCCGCCGACGTGTATGTTATCGCTGCCGGTCTGTAAGGGTGATATAACTTATTGTCGTAATCGCAGTAGACCACCTTCCGTTATAGCTTTTGTAGTTAATTAATGGCTGTCCTTCCTTTCGTCTCTTGTCTTCGTCCTCTGGTGGCTTTTGAATGTGGTCCCAACCGTCTTCAGCATGCCTTTTTCTTTCATTGATTGGTTTTTTTTAAGGATGATGTCTTCTCGTGAACGGTTAGATTTGGTAGACCGGCTGTTGAGGACGGAGAACACATGAGGAATAGCCGTTATTAGAGTAGAGGACACGGAGGAAGAATGGAGCCTCGTTTAAAACGGAGAGCACGGCCATGTTAAACTCTCGATATTGACACATTTACAGCACAGAGACATCACAACAGGCGCAGCGAGTAAGTACTAGTCCCATCCAAGCTACTATATCTTTAATACGCAGCATCTAAACTAGTCGATTCAAAAGTATCGTCTATTATGACAAATAACAGTCCACTTGACTCAACCTGCGTCGAAACCATTAGAAGGGAGTATTCTCCGTGTCTAGTGTGCGCGACCAGAGCCAGGGCCTATCTTGCAAACACTGTCTTTAGAGCTCAAACAAGCTGACCCCAGACAACTATTTCTTCAATCCTCGCACCCTCATTCTCAAGCTCCGCCTTCACCCGTCCCGGCAAGGCATCAAGCTGCTCAGCACTGAAGGAAGTTGACACGCTTCTCGCAACGGCCGTCAGTGGTGCCACGGGTCCTGTAATGCCATTGGCACTCCTAGCACGCATCTCCGGTTTCGCCAGCTTCCCAATATCACACAGGACTCGCCTTTCCTGCACGTTCTTCAAGCCCGCCTCTTCAAGAATGTGCTTCATCTCATTCGCAAAGTCACCGACGCCAATGGCTGTCCAAACTTCCGAGGTCATCTTGGCGAAGTCAGTCATCGCGGGTCCTAGAGTCCCCTTTGGCGGCTGGAAGGCGTTCATTTCCATGAGCTGAACCCAGCCGCCGGGTTTTACCATGGAAATGAGGTTCTTGACAACCTCAATGGGCTTGCCCGGAGCAGAGCCGGCGAGACTACCTCGTATGTGCACGAGGTCCAGTGAGTTCAAGAGATGCTCTGGCCATGGGTCCTTGAAAGAATGCTTGAAGTATGTGATGCCGTCTGGCGTCTCGGGGAAGAGCTCAGGCTCGATGTCACTGCCAAAGTACTCGTGTTGTACTGAGAGCGGACTGCGCACATCACGGAGCCAGATGCCTTTTTGACCATATTAGCGCGGTGTCGAAGGATGTCAAGGGTTACACACCATCGGCGGTGCCAGAATCCAGTATTCTCTTTCCCGGCTCCTGGAGGTTAATGGGGGCTAAGACGAGCTTGCCATCCATGGCATCCAGGAAAACAGCGTGGAGATCAACAAGGCGCTGCAGCTCGGCCGTGTGGCCGGCTTTCTTGGTCATATTCATAAAGTTGTCCATTTTAGTATAATAGTGTGGTTTCGCTACTATTTGACTAGTCTATCAACAGATGCGAAACTAAGAGAGGATTTGCCGTGTACAAATACTTGTGTAAACTACAGGACATGTCTCTGCACAGTGACAAGTCTCGAGAATACTTCATAATCCAGTCTGACTTGAAATGGAACTGACTGGGGCTTGGCTTGGCAGACTGTTGAGTCTGGTCAAGGTACAATGTACCGAAAGAGCGGCGCTCAAGGCTACATATGTACCGAAGGCGGCCCGTTTACCAAAAATGGAGCGCATCGCCGAAGTGGACATGGACCTCGTGCCGAATGTACTCGCTGGCTGAATGTTTGATGCAGAGGCTGTAATATATTTGGTTCTTCGGATCCTTGCGGGTTTATATGTAGTATTCTCCGAATTATGTATTGCAATATGTGTGGAATTATCGCAACGTATGTATGTATTTACACGATACTGGTATTCAACCCGAGTTCTGGGTACGTTCCTCCACGTCCATACTGGAACCTGTAGCACGTAAATACAGTAAAAGCGAAAATTTTGAACGATTAAACGAATTAGGCACTATCATTTTCACACAAGCATGGCTGTGTTATCGCAAGTATGCTGGCTAGCATTTCTGGGAGTCCTACTTCATTATGTCTCTGGTATTGTCCTGAAGCACCGGCGGATGAACAGTGCCAAGATTCCGCCAGGACCCAGAGGTACACACATTTCATATTTACAATGCTCTAATTACTGAACTATAGCTGATAACCTACTGATAGGTTGGCCTTTTTTTGGAAACGCCATGGAACTGGCTTCATCCAATAGCAACACAATCACTGACATCTTTCGCAATTGGGCTCAGCAGCATGGTTCTGTGGCGCAATTCAGCGTCATGGGGGCGAAGCAAGTGGTTCTATCTGATGAGAAGATTGTGAAAGAGCTATTTGTCAAGAGGGGAAATATGTATTCTGATCGAGGAGCCCCTCATGCAGTGGAATATATATCAATGAATCAAAACCCGGGTTTCCGACCCAAGGACGGTGAGTAATTCTTTGCTGTTGGAAGGGGTTTTGTGGTTTTGTATCATCCATGCTGATAATCGATAGAGGGCTGGCGTCGTCAGAGAAACCTGATGTACAGCGCGGTCTCCATCACCTCCATTAATAAATACCAAAGATTAATGGACAAGGAAGCAATCATCACTCTTCATGCGTTGCATGAATCACCGCTGTCATTTGACAAAGAATTTCTACGGTACTCTTACTCCGTCCTCACCAGTTCGCTGCTTGGATTCTCAGTGCGCCGCGCCTCTGACACTTATATTCAACAAAACGAAGAATTCACTGCCGAAATCATGAAGTCTTTCCGCCCAGATTGCTTTCCCAGTAACGTGTTCCCATTTCTGAGAAAAATGCCCTTCTGGCTGGTCCCAAGTTTGAGAACAATGGAGAGACTTAGAAAAGAGTACGTTGCGCAAATGTGGTTGTTCAGGAGCAAGATCGAGAAGAGTGTCAGAGACGGTTCAGCAACCGAGTCCATCTATAAGCACTTCCTCTTGAACCGGGGCGATTACGCCGTTACGGACGAAGAATCTGTTCATACATTTCAAGGCATGATAGACGGTGGGACGCGCTCTCCTCATAACAACTTGCTCACATTCCTGTTCTTGATGATGGAGTATCCGGACTGGCAGAGGAGGCTTCAGGAGGAAGTGGACCAGGTCGTTGGAAAAGATAGGATGCCAAGCCACGAGGATATTCCCAACCTACCTACAGTGAGAGCCATAGTGAAAGAGGGAGTCCGATACAGGAGCATAGTGGCAGAAATGGGCATAACCCATTGCCTCAGTGAGGATGATGTTTACGAGGGCTACTTTTTTGAAAAGGGAACAGTGTTCCACGCGCCATTCGAGTGAGTCTTGCGTTTCAAGAATTACGCATTCACATATTCAATCCCGCTAATTCTGCTAGATCTATCCTCATGGATAAGGAAACATATCCGGACGGACTCCTGTTCAACCCTGCACGTTGGCTTGAACCCAGCTATCCAACCTACAAGGAACCTTTAACTACTTACCCAAATTGCCACAATTTTCCAGCTTTTGGCTATGGCAGACGAGCTTGCCCAGGAGTCGAGTTTGCGGAACGCACCTTGGTCATCATAATTGCCAAATTGGGATGGGCAGTAAACATCCGGTGGCCTCGGGACGAATTTGGTAAAGAGCTTCGGGAGAAGCTTCGGTATGAGCCGGTGCCCGCCCCGAGACCTATGGAGTTTGGCTGCAGCATCGAGGCTCGGGACCCAGACCGGATCAAGGTTGTTCAGAGGGCAGTTGAGAAATTGAATGAGGAATATCATTCGGCGTAAACTGGCCAAAACAAGCACACAGGGCACGGGTAGCCGATTGTCCCTTGCGGAAAACCAGCCATGGCAAGCTTTCATCGGCTTGCTTGGGTATATCCATGTTTGGATGATGGGAGCTCTTTTTTATTTAGCAAGTTTAGAACGCCATGAATCATTAAGCAATCAGGCTTCATGTTGTCATCATCACAACTGAGCTATGTGCTGGTGATATCGGTTCAAGTACTACGACATAATGACTATCTCTCCACTTTGCGTGTCCCAGATTTCCACCCTCGTCATACGTGTTCTCGACTTGCGTCTACAAGCCGATTATTCTTTCTGGGGACAATCCCCCCACTAGTGTCGTAACTGCCCTCACCCCGACATGCCTCTGAGAAATTTGTCGTGGTTACTACGGTTAAGCCTGCGAGAAGCTATCTCGTGTGTGCTTAGGCCATTCTTTAGTTGTCCAACATGGTGATTGTCCCAAACCGCTCTGCAATCCATGAACTTGGAATTACTAATATGCTGCCCGCCGTAGGAAGACGGTGATGACTATTTGCTTGCAAGTTTGAAGAATAGCCGGTACTAGTGACCAAATTCTAGATAATCATGGATCTAATGTTTTCTATCCCAAGATTCCATTGCTATTGATGCCACATCTTTACCACGCGACACGGCAATCTCATGACCCCCCTTCAAAACTCTCATGTCAACAGACTCTCTACAGAGAAGCGCTTCAGCATCTTCTACTAACTCGTCCTTTACAACAATAGCATCACTCTCCGCGATAATGAGGCAGATACGCCCACTCGGTAGACCCGGTGGTGCATTCGTTGTTCGTCGTCGCCGTAGTTCATCCGCAAGCACTCTCCAGATTCTATCATGGCGTCTGAAGACGAGAGAGCTACGCAGGGAGCTCAAGTAAGAAGAGACAAATCCATCATTGTTCTTTAACTGCCATCGAACCACATCGCCGATTCTCACACCATGTCGATCAGCTGCAATAGGCACGTCGTCAAAGTCGACTTCAGCGTCCTTGACCTGTTCGGGGACGTCTGCACTCCTCGGTGCGCCATTTCTCGGCTCCAGGCTGCTATGGAGGATCCTTAGGCGAAACCAGTCTGGTATTATGCCTGACGAGTAGAGAAATTGGCTTCGGGGGCTTATGTGCGATGTACGGATTAGCCCTCCCGGGCAGATGAGGGTAACAGACCGAAGCATACTCGCGTGGTAGGCAGCGAATGCTACAGCCACTGACCCGCCGAGAGAAAATCCGACAATATGGAAGGCAGACGATCCAGTCCAGGACAGCGGCGAAGATGAGAGAACAAGCAGAATCTGAGTAGTGTAAAGCCGAGCGTCATGTTTCAAGTCATTTGGCGTATCTGAGTAGCCTCTGCCAAAGAAGTCTGTCATGAAAATTGTCAGCAAAGATCATCCCAATTCATAGAGTACTTTATGAATTTTTGTCTTTCGTAATAGAACTTGGAATGATGATTGTCATCCAACTGTGCTACCGGGGGATAGTGCAATGCAAGACGCACCAAAAATCATGACTCTGTAGCCCTTTTTGACAAATTCTTTCGCCATATCACCCAATGCTATACACGGAGTGCTGAGACCGTGCATCATCAAGACTTTCTCCCCATTTTCAGGGCCCCATTCAAACACTTGAATTGTTCCATATATAGTGTTGAACTGTCTTCCTCCAGGAAAGGCATCCATCGAGTACGGCAGCTCATCCTCCGGGGCCTTCGCATCCGCTGATCGTTGGCCTTTGCCTGCTTCCACACGAGTCCTAGCCCGCGTAATCGTCTGCTCTTCAGGAAGATGTTGCACATCGCTAAGAGTTGGTCGAATCTGTACATATAGAGCGAGGGAGGCCGCTGCAGCGGTAACTCCTAGCAGAGGCGCTTGCCTGATGGCCTGCCGAATTGCTAACAGTGGATTTAGATCAAACATTCTGGAGAATGTAGCATTTACTTCCCGAGACGACTCCCGGATAGCTGTCTAGATAGATATCTGCGGCCCATACCGCCTCAACTCATCGTTATTTGACTAGCATCACCTCGGAGAAGGATAAGCACGGTGCGAGGCTGATTATCTCCCCCAGGGTCGGTGGTCCCGCTTCGGCATATCATATGTGGCGGCGTCCCGAAAGCCCAGTTTACGGCCCAAATAGGCAGTTTCCGAAAACAGCCGAAAGATCGGGATTCCAACTGCCCGCTTCAATCATGTAGGAGCCAAATCAGCGCCAGCCACCCTCAAAATACTATCGGTAACAACCTGGGATCTCATATCACGCCTACTAACAGGCAAAAGTACGATGAGATGTAGACTCGAGTTCAAAGGACTAATCCTAGCTTCAACTAGCAAAGATAGGAGTGACGCCATGTCTGCCATTAATGAGGCGACAATCAACCCAGAACGTTCCCTTGGATTACCATTTCGTCGGGAGGGCGACTTTTCTCAGTAATCTTCTCCACGGCTAATAACCTCTTTCACCGTAGGTCTGAGCAGAATTGTCTGATGTACTTCTATTAATCGCGCATCTTCCAAGTCAACTAGGATTGTGACTTACATGCTCAAATTGGGCCGTGTATGACCCCTTCTGGTCAACCAGAGGGGGATAATCCTCGACAATGCCGGATTTGACTAGATGGTTTAGCTACACAATTGTCAGCCAACTACGAAAAAACAACTCCAAGGTTATAGCAACATCATACACCGAGTAGATATTTCTCGTGCCCGATTCTATCCAAATATCGTCGGCAGAAGGGAAGAGTACTGAAATTCTTCTTAATGCTATACAGCAACGACTTTGCAGAAGAGAGATGCAAGTCCACTTTAGGCGCATCACTGCGTAGAGCATAATGTGAGACTTCGCCCTGATCGTAGACCTTGCCTTTTCCAGTACTACCAAAGGGCTCAATGGCGAAGACATCACCCTCTTCCATCTTGGTGGTATCGTTCGTCTTCACAGAGGGAACGCTCTTTGAGCCGTGGATGCTGTAGTGTAAGATGCTATGGCCGGTTATATTCCTAATCGGCTTGATTGGGTACGTCGTCCCATTGATTTCGCATTCGTAGCTTTCCATGGCTTCCTGAATGTATCCACCAAGCTCGCCAAGTCGAACGTCAATTCCGGCTTCACGGACGCCAGTATTTGTCGCGTCCTTGACAGCTGCAAGGAGATTGTCATACATCGGATCAAACGCCATTGTGAAGGCGCTATCAACAATGCGGCCATTTACATGCACGCCAATGTCAATCTTCATCACATTATTATGCTGAAGGACAGTCTTGTTGCCGCTATTTGGGCTGAAGTGGGCAGCAATCTCATCAATGTTTAAGCCAAGTGGGAAAGCCATGCCAGCGTGAATTGCATCGCCTTCGGATAGGCCATCGTGTCCGACTAAACGACGAACGCTGTCCTCAATGCCATTAGCGATCTCGGTGAGCGTCTGACCTGGCTTGATATTTTTCTGTGCCCACTGGCGGACCTGACGATGCGTCTCGGCTGCTTGACGATAATCAGAAAGAAAATCACTATTAAGCATATCTAGATGACGCTTCTCCTCGTTGGTAGTACGATATCGGTTCTCATTGGAGTATTCGACTTCTTCGCCTTGAGGGTATGTGTCGTTCGGAAACAATTGGGACACGAGAACTGACGGAGGTTCGGTCTGGGCAGTCGGAGCCTTCTTCGTCTTCTTCTTCTTCTTGTTCTTCTTCTTCTTCTTCTTTTCCGTGGCACCAGATTCACCAGCGGCAGCGGTAGATTCAGTTATGTTTTCGTCCGCGTCGTCGTCATCGGATTCTGCCCCAGAGATTGCTGCATTAGCCCCCCCGGATGTGGTCCTGTTGCCGCCAGCGGAACCATGGGCACTGTCAGATTCTTTGGCTGCTCATGCTCCTGTCAGCTAGTGTTCCTACTATCAAATATGCGGAAGAGACGTATTACAAACCGCTGGGCGCCTTGGGATTATTATCGGGGGCTCTGGCAGCCATCGTGTTTGTCTAGACCTTGCAACTTGGGATGATGGTGTGGACAAGAACGACGGGTGGCTGAGACCCCGCTCACCGCTAAAATCTTGGATCGCTGCTGCCAACCTCAAAAGGGAAGGTGCCCGAAGTGCTAATTCCGGCTAGCGGGGGTCTGGTAGGTATGCACCTATCGGGGCAGCTCCATCAAATGGGGACATCGATTAACTGATAACATTGAACTTAAGCCATCGAGCCTTTATCCCACCAAGCTCCACCGTTCATCACTTGACTCGTTTTGCGGCCTCCGAATTCCATGCAGCGAGGCGAAGCTGCTTTTGAGCGTCGCGAGACCTGCTGACAACCTCTGACCCTGACCACCTTTGGGGTGTTCCACTGCAGTCCGTCTTAGAAAAGCGAAAACCACCATGGTCGAGTCATCCAAGATGAAGTGCCTCGGAGCAGACTGCGAAAATGATGCTGGAACGTTACAGTGCCCAACTTGCCTGAAGCTGGACTTGAAAGACAGCTATTTTTGCACTCAAGATTGCTTCAAGAGAAATTGGGTCGGTCTAGGTGTCCTCTCCCTACCAGAGCTTCGCTGAACAATCCTATCCTGTAGAACCAACATAAGACGGTACACAAGATAGCACAAGGCAAGACACAAAATGGTACCCTCCACAACATCATTCCCCCCTCCCCAAAGGCTGTCTCTAAATGCAATGAAGTTGCTCGATTTTACAATCCTTTCCCATCTTATGCCTTCACTGGCTCCGTCCGACCTGTCTATCCGCTCTCTCCGATGCGAACCGTGCCCAAGTCGATACCGCACCCGGACTGGTCTGTGACTGGCATCCCAAAGGCTGAACGACGCTTGAATAGGTCAAAAATCGACTTGCTAGACGCCAAAGGACAGGAAGCAATGCGCAAGGTTTGTAGATTAGCTCGAGAAGTACTTGATATACTCGCCGCAGAGCTCAAGCCAGGCATTACCACGGATTATCTCGACGAGGTCTGCCACAACGCCTGTGTAGAACGGAAAGTAAGCGCGACTCCCTCCGAGATGAATCTGGCTACATCTAACATTGATAGTCGTATCCTTCTCCCTTGAACTACAATCACTTCCCTAAATCATTGTGTACTTCTCCGAATGAAGTTGTTTGTCACGGAATACCCGATCAGCGGATCCTTCTGGATGGTGATATCCTAAATCTCGACATCTCACTATACCACGAGGGCTATCACGCCGATCTAAACGAAACGTATTATGTAGGGGATCGAGCCAAGACGGACCCCGACTCGGTCAGAGTAGTGGAGACGACTCGGGAATGCTTAGACATGGCAATTGCACTCGTCAAGCCCGGTACACCAATACGAGATTTTGGTGCCGTCATCGAGAAGCATGCCAAATCCAGAAACTGCACTGTAGTCGCGACCTGGGGTGGCCATGGCATCAACACCGAGTTCCACCCCCCGCCGTGGATACCTCACTATGCTAAGAATAAGGCAGTTGGGGTGTGCAAACCCGGAATGACCTTTACCATTGAGCCCATACTCGCGCTGGGCAAATCTCGGGAAGTGTACTGGCCAGATAACTGGACAAACGTCACTGTGGATGGTAAACGGACTGCTCAATTTGGTGTGTACAGGTGGTCATTTTGCCAGGCGCCTATTCCCGAACACTAACAAATGTCTAGAGCACACCTTGTTGGTCACTGAAACAGGCGTCGAGGTCTTGACCGCAAGAAAAGAAAATTCTCCAGGCGGCCCAATACCAATGCCGGCGACTCCAAACGACACAGCAAAGACCAATGGCGCAACCCACGCATAGTTTTCGGCCCTACGATGCGTTGCCCGGTTAAATAGCATCTGATGGCTTGTGTGGAGCTTTATTTGGGCAGGCGAGGCAGATAGTTGCAAGTGGGAGGTTGTCAAATATTTGTAGGTACGCACAGCCAGACGGCCAGTTCAATCGGCAGCCTTGTTGTAGTTGGCAACAAATGTACACTGGTGACTGAAGAGTTCAAGAGAACCGAGACCAAACCGACGGCGTAGTAACACAGAGCTCATCTGAAAACAGACCCAAGTGCAACATGGTCAAACGACACCCAACGTGAATGTGAAGCTTCTGTGCAGAAAAGTTGGAACATGGCCAGCACCTCATATCATGCTAAGCTTGCGCTTCCAGATGGGACCATGTACCGGCTACCTAGGCAGTTCAAATATGGTCAAGTTAAGGTGCTAAAACCCTGCCGGAGACGGCGAGATGCCAATCAATCGGCGCCATGAATGGGACTCGGTGCAGGCACTCAAGTGCTGACTTTAACATGGGGGTTAACCCAAGCGCTAGCATCCATTGATCAAACTTGATGGCACCAAGTCCCCACGCCGAACGGCCGAACGGGCCAGGCCGAAGAGGCCGAAATGATGTCTATATTTTGTCAGGGTGCGCCTGGTGCCTGCATGTTAATGGGTCTGGTGCGTTAGCATAGGCCTGGCAGGTTTCCACCAAGCGCAGATGGTGTCCTTTGATTATTAGAGACGGCACCCTTTAAAGCGCAGAGTAAAATGTTTTAGCGTATAGGTTAAGACATCAATTACATTTAGTACCTATTGCGCTTACCATTCATATGAGCGTGTTCCGAAATCCAGCACTTGCTGCAACCACCACGAGCGGCCGCTGTCTGAGCCACGTATACATTCAGTAAGACAAGGAAAACATTGTACTTTTCACGACCCAAGGCAGCTTATCCGTTGGCTTCCTTGTTTCTTTTCATTCCAGAATGGAACAGTCATTGCCCGTACAGTCGCATCTCCAAGATGAAATGCTACTAGAGAGCTTGAAGAACCCAGAGGACTTCTGGGCTCGCCAAGCCGAGCACCTTTACTGGCACAAGAAGCCCGAAGCCACGCTGCGAATGTCACAGAGAAAGCTGCAAACAGGCGAGGTTCATCCGACTTGGGAGTGGTTCTCTGGCGGCGAGATATCAACGTGCTATAACTGCCTTGACAGACATGTAGCTGCAGGCAACGGAGACCGGGTAGCTATTTACTACGACAGTCCGGCTACAGACACAAAAGAGACCTATAGCTATAATAATCTCCTCAGCGAAGTTGAAGCCCTAGCTGGGGTACTCAGGCAACAAAATGTCAGAAAGGGTCATGTGGTGATGCTGTATAGTACGTACACACTTGGGCCTTGACATCACTCGCCGCATCTGACTTACTCAAATTTAGTGCCCATGATCCCAGCGGCTCTAATCGGAATGCTGGCAGTTAACCGTCTCGGAGCCATCCACGCCGTCGTATTTGGCGGCTTTGCAGCAAATGCCCTTGCTCAACGCATTGACTCGTGCAAACCCGTGATTCTGCTGACTGCCTCATGTGGCATCGTCGGGAACAGACCTCCCATTGCGTATCGACCGCTGGTGGAGGAGGCAATTGGCCTGTCGTCTCATAAACCGGGGCGTATTGTGGTTTGGGAGCGAGAACAATTACCATGGGGTACGAAATCCTTTGCATGTGGTGGTGCTCTATCTCGATGGCTGCAAAAACTTGGCCGTTTTGTAAGGACGACCAGCGACAACTACATCTCATGGCAAGGCACGGTAAGGAGGGCAAAGGCGCGCGGCGTCAAGGCGGACTGCGTAGCAGTAAACAGCAATGATCCCATATACATCATCCACACCTCTGGAACGACTGGAACTCCCAAGGGAGTACCGCGCGATGCGGGTGGCCACGCGGTGGGATTGCATTTGTCCATCAGCTACATCTTCAACATCCACCAAGGAGACGTCGCCTTTACAGCTTCAGATATTGGCTGGGTGGTGGGACATTCCTACATCCTGTACGCACCGTTGCTTGCGGGAGCTTCCACTGTCTTATATGAAGGCAAGCCAGTTGGAACGCCTGATGCATCCGCCTTTTGGCGCGTGGTGGCAGAATATAAAGTCAACACAATGTTCACTGCGCCGACTGCACTCCGAGCTATTAAACGCGACGATCCTAATAACCATTTCCTCTCCAAAATTGGCGAGGCCGGGGGCCTACGATCACTTAAAGCGCTCTTCCTTGCCGGCGAGCGTTCAGAGCCCAGTTTAATATCCATGTACCAAGGGCTCCTTAATAAATATGGCGCACCCTCTTCCTCTCACGTCATAGACAACTGGTGGTCAACAGAAGCAGGATCACCTATAACGAGCAGAGTTCTCAACCCGCACGCCGCGCTAGATCGTGAATCTAGCGTACGGAATTACAGCCCTCTACGTATTCAACCTGGGAGTGCTGGCAAGCCGATGCCGGGATTTAATATTCGTGTCGTGGATGAGCAGGGTGATGAAGTACAAAGAGGCTTAATGGGTAATATTGTCTTAGGGCTACCTCTGGCGCCGACGGCATTCCGTACACTGTGGGCAGACAAGGAGAGATTCTATCACAGCTACTTGAGACGATTTAATGGGAAATTCCTAGATACTGGAGACGCAGGGTGGATTGATAATGAAGGCTATGTTTATGTCATGAGTCGAAACGACGATGTGCTGAACGTCAGCGCGTATCGACTATCAACTGGTATGCATTTGTTAAACATCTGGAACAAACACTTCCCTGCCTGCTACTAACTAATATCACAGGGTCCATAGAACAAGCCATCTCATCGCACCCACTTGTCGCAGAATGCTGTGTGGTCGGTGTTCCTGATGAACTCAAGGGCCAGCTCCCATTCGCATTCATTACCCTTTCCACGGCGAGCCATCCCGAGTCCGCAATACCAGATGCCAAGATTTCACTTGAGATCCAGTCGCTTGTGCGTAGGCAAGTCGGTGCATTTGCGTCGCTAGGGGGGATTATCCAAGGGAAGGGCATGATTCCCAAGACACGATCTGGGAAGACGTTGCGACGAGTACTCCGAGAACTGGTTGAGAATGCAGTTTACGGAGAATTTGCCAAGGCGGTTGTAGTGCCTAGTACAGTCGAGGACGCGGTCGCGGTGGACGTGGCCCGATTCAAGATCAAGGAGTATTTCGAGAAGAGCGGCAGCAAGCACAGGCCGATCGAGTCAAGGGAAACGAGAAGGACGTTGTAAGATTCCAAAGGCTTCTAGAATTGCTGAGCTATTGCGGCGTAGCAACAAAAAAGCATATTCGGGGTGAGTCTACGGAAAGGTCAGCTAGGAGACATTTGGCAAGAATATATGCGACGTTCATGTCTTGGAAAGTGCAATTGTATGCAAACAGGCGAGAAGTCTCTGCTGGCAATCTTGGCTGAGCGATCTTTAGCCGCGTCCAACTTGTCGTCTCGCTAGCTAATGGGGTGCAATTCCTCCCTTTGTTTGGCTGCCTTCTCTGCGTGTAGATATCTATCTGTTGTGGTTTCTTGGTCTGTCAGCACCATGTGGTCAACATAATAATACTTTGACTGGAAATTTGCCAAGGGCTTAGCTTAGATCGACCAGGGACCTCCAGGCAGTCTGAAGTTGCAGCCATGGTGGTTATTATTCAGATGAAATAAATGTCTCCCAACGCCGGGCACCGCTTCCCACGGACGAAATAAATACAGTCAATTTGATTGGTCATGGCAACCACCTATCGACGGAGCTGGTTCATATGGATTGACATCATGATGCACAATTCTCCCCTATTGTTCATCTTCCGGGCTTACATCACGAGCAGTTTTACAACAACTTTCAGCAGAAGCAAGCTATATTTTGCGATGACGTTCAGCAGTACATCCAATATCTAGATCCTGAACTCATGCAAGACAAGATAGTCTGTAGAGTGCTAGTACCCATTGGTCGCCACATCCACCGCGAGGGCGGTCGATACCAATAAGGCACTATGGCTTTCAGGTTCCGGGAGATCATAGGCTGCAAGGTCAACGCCGGAGAACCCGGCACTTTGGAGATGTTGACCCCATTGCTCAGGAGACTGCAACGGACTTTCTGTTCTGCCCTCACCGACACCAGCCCACCAGCCCGAAAGCGAGCCAAAAGCCATGTTGAAGTAAGGAGTTAACCGAGTTAGCTCTACAAGGCCGAGCTTACCACCAGGTTTCAGCAACTTGTGAATGGTTCCCAGCGAACGGGTCAGAGACTGCGTGGCATGGACAACATTCGCGGCAATGATCAAATCGTAGGCATGCTCTTCAAATCCCTGTTTCGCTGCATCGTTTTCAACATTGAGAGTTTGGAACTTGAGCACACGCTCCCACTTCTTCAAGGTCGTTCGGCTCGTCTTGAAGAAACCGGGAGAGATGTCGGTGTACATGTACTCGGAGCAGAAGAATTCCCCATCGGGACTGCATGCTTGGAGCACTTTGAGCGTTGTGCCTCCCGTGCCAGCGCCAATCTCCAAGATTCTCAAGTCCTTTTTCTTGCTGCATAGAAATTTTGCATAATCAGCCATGTATTGGTTGGGTCGCGCCCCTTCATCGGAATGGTACATTCGGAACAGCAGGTCGTCTCTCAGGATAAGGGCCAGCGGATGAGTTTGGCCGGTCAGCATGCGAACAAGCTCCGGCCCAATCCGGTGGATGGCCTCCCCTTCGATACCGAGTCTGGACGTCAGCTGGTCCATCTCGCTCTTGGTGCTTGGCCCCTGTTGAATGAGGACCTGTCCCGATTCTGACTTTACAAAATCTTGCAGGACTTGCCACCAGTAGGCTCGGTGATCTTGCTTCACGGCCAGTCCACGATCGTGCATCTCTTTCACAGCCCAGTCGATGTAGCGAGCGCAGGCAGCAGAGCCAAGGTTGAACTTTTCTGCTGCAGTCATGCCAACTTGGTCGGATTGTAGTGGCATGACGGCCGATTCGAGCATCTCAGCCGTAATAGAT